TAGGAAGCCCGAGGCAGAGTTGCTCTGCCCCAGGCTTCCTGGAATCAGCTGCTGATCAGTTTCAGCAGCAGCTGACTTGGGTTTCTTAAGTTGAATCTGTATTCAGCGGCTGAATCTGGACGGCAGTTCCGACTTACATACAGATTCAACTTAAGAACAAACCTACAGTCCCTATCTTGTACATAACCCGGGGACTGCCTGTACTACCATGAGGCAGAGTTGCTCTGCCCCAGGCTTCCTGGAATCAGCTGCTGATCAGTTTCAGCAGCAGCTGACTTGGGTTTCTTAAGTTGAATCTGTATTCAGCGGCTGAATCTGGACGGCAGTTCCGACTTACATACAGATTCAACTTAAGAACAAACCTACAGTCCCTATCTTGTACATAACCCGGGGACTGCCTGTACTACCATGGTTCTCTAAGTAAATCAGCATCTCCCATAAGTCCTAGGCTTTGCTAGCAGCTGGGGGAATATTGGACATGGTCAGAGGATAAATATTTTCACTAAACATTTAAAATGAAAACAATGTTTATTTCATTTTAAAATGTTTTGCATTTTTTGACAAAAAGAACAAACAAAAATGGATTTCAGGTTTTCCCCCTTCTCTCCATTTTTTTCCTCAGTGATAAAAGGGGTGAAAGAATAGAGGAAGAATTTAAAAAAAAAAAAAACTTTAAAAACCCCCCCACAACTCTCTCCATTTTCAAGTTTTCAATTTTCCATTAAAATAGGACAATATTTAGACCAAAATAAAAATCTCAGTGCAAATTTTCATTTATGTTAAAAAGATATTTTCATTCAAATAATAGTTTTGAAATGAAAAAAAATTGATGTGAAGAATAAAATTAAGCTGCCACCACAATGCAAATATAAAATCCTATTGACACTTTTGCTTTTAGCCCTGCTGACACTGGAATTCAAATGAATCCAAAAGGAAAGAATGCAAAAGGTATGGAGGAAGGGAGGGAGAATCAAAGAAAAATATGACATGAATGATCTGAACAGTCTGGAATTAAACATATAGGGCCAAATGGAGTTGCACCTATTCATTGCAATTGAAAATGTGATCTGTCCTGCTGATGTCAATGTCTAAAAGTGTGGGGTAAAAATTACTGTACTCTTACCGATATGTGGCCCCTTGCTCAGGTTTTGTGCTGCAAACCCGAGATAATGAAAGGTAGTTTGTACTGCCACTAACTGACCTGTACCTGTTCTATGAAGAAGAAACTACAAGCTCCATGGATAATGGCAAACCTTTCACAAGCACTAAATACACTAAAATAACTAATGCTAAGGAATATATATATATATATATATATACACACATACACACACACACACTCACACTATATTAGTCTAAAGATCAAGCATCAAATTGAGCTTTTTAAAAAAAATGATTTTGCAAAGAGTAGTATTATCTAATTCTACTATATATTTGAGAGAGTTACTCTGTTTGAGAACTCCTCCTACAAGGTAAGAGTCAGGACCACCAAATTCAGTATCCTAAATTAAAGCCAGGTAAGGGTTTGGCTGTGCCAGGACAACGGGTTGTGCCTGGAATGGGATAGCGTCTCATAAAACCATACAGAAACACCAAGCATTTGGAAGGGGGCTGACTGGGGACAGGCCTCTCCTTTGGGACTGCCTCAGCCCTGAGCCTCCTGCCTCCCCAATACCTGTTAGGAGGATATGGGGCTCTGGTTCATATGGGAACATTGCTGGCTGTTCCCCTTCATCAGGAGTGAGGGGGAGATACACAAGTGGCTGTGTTATTCACTCTGGCTGGGGAGCCAGGGGGCATATCCACCCCAGATCAGTAATTCAAATAAAACATGTAAGTTTTTCATTTTATCTTCCAAATAACAAACATTGAGTTAAAGACTCAAGTAATGCTAGGAAAATTTTGTCTTTGGCTGGCATGTCGTTCCCAAGAGAATGAACCAAAGACCCCAGGCAAAAAAGGAACTTCTGTGGCTTGGAGGGTTAGCTGGAATAAGAACAGTTTTAGGGTAAATTTGTAATAGGTGTTAGAATTAGCTATATATATTTTTTTTTGTTACTTTAAATTGTTAATTTGCTTTGATCTGCTTGTTTTCACTTGCAACCATCTAAATCCTACTGTTTGTACTTAAGAAAATCGTTTTTATTTACTATCAAGCCCAATGTAAATAATTATTACCTGGAGGAGCAATCAGTGTGTACATCCTCCTTTCATTGTTAAAGGGGGCTTTCCTGAAGGGTTTATTTGGATTTCTGATCTCATCTGGGGAGTGGTTTTCCTGGAAGCTGGGCCCAAAACTGTTTTTTCCTGGGACCTGGCGGGAGTGGGGGCAGCAGTGATCTAAACTCGGAGCCTTGGCTGGGGGAGACCAACTGGGTTGGCCCAGCAGGACAGGATGTGAGAATCCCCAGAGAGCAAGAAGGCGAGTGTCAGTGGCTTTAAGGAGTCATCTGTGACTGCACGCTATCACAGTTTCATCTCACATGCCTGGTTCCAATAGATAAAGCTAAAGAATTTCCTGCTTTCAAGCTTTGGCAGAAGATTGTGTGGATGTGTGGGTTGAGTTTGGCACAAGTTTTAAAAAGTGATATTTGATCACTATTTGAATGCTCCAGATAATTTGAGAGTCTGTCATTGAATATCATAAGCTAATTAGTCAGCTAATTTTTAGCTAATTTTTAAGTGTTTTCTTATTTGTCAGTGACATTCTGGGGATCTGCTGACTTGTCATTCAGTGCCATATTTGTTTTAACATAAGGCAAAGAGTTATCAAATGACAGCCAAGAGGTGATGCTCTGTGGTAACACATTTTGTCTTTCTCTCCCCCATTTTAGGGCGTATTCCCTTGTGGATTCCAGTCAAGTGTCTACGTTCCTGATTTCCATTCTTCTTATAGTCTATGGCAGCTTCAGGTAAGAATATTTTCTAAAGCCTCTATTTATATTTCAGATGAAAACTGCATCACGAAGAGTGTTGCATTCAGCACATTAGTCATCTTAGTACATGCTTGCTTCAAGGTAGAAACAACGCTTATCACTTAGCGTTAGACCTGTCTACAAGAGGCAACAAAGAACTAATTAATACTTAATGGTCTGACATGTACATGTGTTCATTGTTTCTCTTTCTCAGACTAATACTTGTAAATGGATTTTAAACTTTTGTTTCTGAGACTGCTATAAAGAAAAGGAAAAAAATGAAAGGACCTAGCATATTTGGAAGATCAATTTCTAAAATATGTAACTATGTGAAGGTAGATCAAGGTTCAAGGAAGTATACCAAAGTAGTTTTTTACACTTATATATGGAGTAAATTGGCCAGGGACACACTTTCCCAATGGATGTGAAACTATGTGGAGGATACAAATGGATTCTATCAAGTATTTTTGATACATGGTCCGTATAGCAGTCATACAGGACTGTATAACTGCTTGTTGGTGTTTTCCATATCATGGAATTGGTGCTTGCTGAATCTTAAACCTGTAAGGTATATTTGAGTGTCTTCGAAAATTAGATTACTTGACCCTTGCATCGCAAGAAAGTTGTAAAAGTAATTACCAATAATCTTAAGGGCCTCCAGTTGGAATAACCAGTTAAACTATGGAAGTTCAGGGAGGAAGGGAAACGAGTACCCAATGTTGCATCAAGCAAGAAATGTTTAACTGGTTTGAAAATGCCCTAGAGATAAGTTGTACCAGATAAACAAAATCTGTAAAATCTGGTTAGTTGCACCTTTAACATTTTAAAAATTATGAAAAACACTTGCTTTATTTAGCAAGCTTGGAAAACATTAGTTCAGTACTTGTCTCTCTCTAAAAATTTTTTCCTATGGGATAACAGAGTGAGGTCACTCTACGTTCCGTCTGCCTCCTACCTCTCTCCCTCCTTCTCCCTCTCAAACTTGACCTCGCTGTTTCCCTATACCACTTAGAATTATTTTAAACCAAGCCCCTATTTCCCTTCCTCCACTCTCACCCCACAGGGCTTTCAATGCCAAGAAACATGGCACAGTAGCCAGCAGACCCTAGGGGCAAGGGAGAAGGGTATGGTGCTCGGGATAGCTGCCCAGGGACAGGCACTAAGAGCAGGGCTCTCTGCTGGGCTTATGTGCCAGCAGTGGACTCTTGGGGGCTCCCTTGCTTACAGACTCTTGGGGAACCAGAGTGCGGTGCCCAACCACCTGGAGTCTGGCTGCCTCCACGGAGATTCACGCCCTCCCCAGTGGCTGCACTTAATGCAGCTGCCAGAGCACCCCCGAGCTGTCCGGGGTAGCCACCACACTGACCTGTCTGCTCCTTCCCTTCTGCTCTTGGTGGGCAGACGGGTGGCCCTGGGCTCTGCCGGTGGGACCTCATGAAGGAGAGGTCAGGACCGCTACCCCCATGCTGCTGCTTTCCCCACCTCAGCAGGCTGCAGTACCTGGAGGGCTGTGTGCACAGTACCTGTGCCCCATGTGGGGTGAGCAGGCATCCCCTGTGTCTCTTCAGCTGCCTGGGTTAGAGCCAGGCCTGGTGCTGCCTGGGTTACAGCCGGGCCTGGTGCATGCCACGACCAGGGTTAGGAGGTTTAGGGATTGGGAGGGAGAGAGAAAGGGCCTGGGCTGGAGTGGGGGGGAGGGAGGGAGGGAGGGAGAGAGGACCCTTGCTCTCAGATGGGTGTGGGGAGGGGAGAAGGGCCTGGGCTGGCACAGCTGCAGCCCAGCCCTCCCTGGTGACCGGGGAGAGAGCCACGGTTGCCAATCCCAGATGAGAGGGGGTTGGGTGAGTGCAGCAAGCAGGGGGCACAGCCCCCTAGTTTTTACTAATAGGAATATGATAAACAGCCAGAAATTCACAGTGAGCAATGCAGCACAAAATCACTTCTCTCAATATTCCAAAATGAGGTGTGAAAATCTTGAACAGTCCGGTGGCAGCCCTCAAGGATATATTTGAGTAAAGTTTCCCAGATGAGAGGGGGTTGGGTGAGTGCAGCAAGCAGGGGGCACAGCCCCCTAGTTTTTACTAATAGGAATATGATAAACAGCCAGAAATTCACAGTGAGCAATGCAGCACAAAATCACTTCTCTCAATATTCCAAAATGAGGTGTGAAAATCTTGAACAGTCCGGTGGCAGCCCTCAAGGATATATTTGAGTAAAGTTGTACAATGCAAACAGTAATTTTTGGTGAGAATTGCCTGTCTCTAATATTAAGGTTAGGCAGGTATTCCTGGATATTCATAGGGCTAATATTTTACTTTGGTAGTGTTAGAGCTGAGAAACCTTTCGTCAAAGGAAAAGTTACAGAAGATATATAAGTGGAAAAGAAAAATAGCCAAGTATATTAAGATTATTAATGAATATTTAAATAAATATTCTAGGTGCAAGAGAGTTTTGGACCCATCTAGTTTATGGCCAAAAGGGTAATGAAAGTGAATATTTGTGAAGAAGTTATGGGTAAACTTGATATGTTTTTTTTCTATTTTTGGATGTTCGAGTTTATATAATAAAAAGGGTAACTATTCATATGCTCTAGGAGATGTTAAAATTACCATTTTAAGATAACACAGAATATAAAGTACAGCAGCACAGTCAGTATAAATCACCAGGAACTCTTAAACTAAAATCCTCCTCCTCTTCCAGTAGACTTCTATCTTCAAAATTCCCTCCTTCATCACCTTATTCTTTTTTAGGTATTCCTCAGAAGTTTTGCAGTGCGTCCTGATGGTCTCCAGCTTTGGGCCTTTACAGTCAAACTGGGGAGTAAATTCTAAAGCTGAGGGGCCCACTCTTCTTTTCTACTATTAGGCCTTCATCTCTGCTAAGGTGGTGGGGAGAACTTTCCATCTTCTTTGCTTTGGTGTTCAGGCTAATGTCATGATTTATGTAGGATATGGTTGTGTGGTGTTAACAGACACATTTAAGAAATAATTCAGCTATTTAGAAATTCAGTGGTTATTTTTACCAAAAGTGGTATTCATTTGTGAGTTCATAAAGCAATAAAATACTAAAATAAGTGAACTTTTGCTGAAATAAGTAGTATTTCCTAAAACAGCGCCCGTCCTTGAACAAAGAAAGATTACAAATACTGCACCTATCTTCAAAAAGAAAATAGTGATCTTTGATACTATAGATCTATGACTCGTACCTCAATACCAGCATAATACAGCACTTGGATAAATGATGACCAAGTCATTTCCACTGCAAGTAAGGTTATACTTCTTTGAACTATTATTTTCTAGAAAAATAGTGAAATAATGGAAAAAGGAGAGCTGCTCAATGCACTTTAGCTAACAATGACTTGGAACATAATTGTTAAATTGGCTTCTGAAAAAATTCTTTGTAAAAAGCTATTAAAATATCTACATTTCTGCTTTGTAAAATGACTATAAAAATGGTACTATGGGGTTTCCATGTTGATGTAGTGATTTCATAGTCTAATTGCCCTGTAAAACAGCTTGTCTGTCTCCTTGTGAAATCAGTTTGGGATATAATACTTAAGCTGGGTTCTTCTCTTGTCAATAATATTTATCAATAATATTGCAAGTGAGACTATTTTCTTTTACTTTGAATAGTGTGTTTCATTTATGCCCTAGACAACCAATGTGCAGAAAGCAAGTGCATGAGAAATGTTGAATGGTTGATACTTAGGACATTATTTGGTCTTCAGGATCTTTAGTACTAATAGCAATGTACAGGCAGTCCCCAAGTTACGCGGATCTGACTTATGTCAGATCCGCAGTTCCGAACGGGGATTTTCTCGCCCCGGAGGACTGGAGCGGCGGGATGCCTGGTCCCGCTGCCCGCCTCCTCCGGGGCGAGAAAAGCTGCTCCCCGTCTCCCTGGTCTGCGGGGGGAGCCAGCAGACCAGGGAGACGCAGAGCAAAGCGGCGGAGGACCCGGGCTGGA